TAATGCAATGCGTGCAAGTTGAGATTAAATTTTGAGTAAACTTCACAAACTTTAAATGCAAATGCCAAAGTTTGTTCCGTTTGCAACACAAGTCGGTCTTCTTCAAACTAGATTAATGTTAGCAATGAATATTTCATTTCGAAACGACTTCTCAACATTCAGCTGATTAACAGTTTATTGCAGAAGAATTACATACGAAATAAGGCACTGTTTTAGGTCTGATTAAGGCAATCATCTGGATAGATGAGCCAGATTGGAATACATAACATAAGCAGAATCATTTTTCTCTAGATTTTTAGCTCAGAGGTCTACAAGAAAACAGCGGCTGTTCAGATTCCAAGGGTAGAAAGTGCTACTCTGTTTTACAACTATTTGGCGGACTATCAACCGACTTAATTCCACCATCCCATTATGTAACCGATTTCACGGAAATCAACAAAAGCGATTACCTCTTGGGGGCAAGCTTTCAATCTTGAAGGTCTCCCCTCCAACTTAGCAAAGTTTTCGCTAAACTATTACGTAACTTCTGAAACCACAAAACTAAAAGGTCAATCATAAACTTTCGAAACACTGCCGAAAAGACCAAATGCCGCAACTTATCGACTACGTTAAGGTATTCTTTAGACTAAGTCAATAATCTTCCTTTCAAGGCGCCAAGGAATAAAGTATTTCAATTTCATTCTGATTTTGGTTACTCCATGACTTAAATTCGTTCTCCCGTAAATTCACTTTTCCAATTCAGGCACGGAAGAATTGCCTGGAGAATGATAGGGAAACCAAATAATGCTGGGGTACATTAGTAGTTCAGGGACTCTTTTGAGATAGAGTATAATTCATTCGGACACATGCAAAAATTGATGAAAAAAAACGTTAATTCATTAAATCATCACATATTATGTCGGTTAACATTTCTGGCTTAGCGTGAGACATTTTCGCTTCTGAATCTTGAACCGACAGAACAAAACAAAATTCTGGTTGTGGTATCCAGAGTAGACTGGCTACAAACTATCCTATTTTTTAACATTATCGAACCCACCATAGCGAGCCAAATTAACCGAGAAAATATTGTACCGAAGTCAACTGAATGCACTGAAAAATATAGTTCGGCAACAAAAATTGAAAACCAAATAAACCAAGTGTCTCATTTCATACACAATATTTATTTTCAAGCGTAATTTTAATGGTAGAAAATTTCAAGTGTTATGCGACATAATCTCGAAGCGTTTTCTCATTTTGCCAGGCACATTTCTTTGAATTATTTATTATTCTTTATACATTTCACGTTCATTAAAAAGTTCTACGTTTCGCAAAAGCCCCTAAGCATTTCATTATAATTCTGCTGTTCCAGTTAGTTTTTTTTTTATTATTTCTAAGCAGACCTGATTTGCAAAACGTACGTCAATTTATTTTCGAGAACATTTTAAGGTGGATTATGAATATTTATTGAGCAAGGAGCGATAGTCCTGAACAAAAACCAAGTGTAGCGTTTCAGCTGGGTAATAATCCTTTAATATTAACGTCAATTACTGTTCAAATGTATCTCGGCCCCAAAATATATCAAAACTTTAAATTGGCGTTGTGCGCTTCGTCTGCACAACGTTTTCAGTTAAATGTTTCAAAGCAAGCTGTGCAATTAAGCTCTACTCGCTAGATAACAGAATATATCATTACTTTGCTAAGTCAAGCAAACGATGCCGTTTCGCTGTTCCGAGAGTCATAAATATTCTACAAGTTGCTATTGGAAGCTGGTCTAATTGAAACTTCCATATTTTAAAATGATATGCATTTTTTTTATTGTTGAGTAGCTTTAGATACCTTTTATTTCATTTAACGCCTTTGATATTCTGATCCAACTGTTTAAGTGCCATTGATCAAAAGGCACCCGCTCTTTTCTTAAAAAAAAAGTGTAAACAACATGATTTACTACTTAATAAAGTTTAAAAAAGTTTTCGTATAAAATGAATTTGAGACAAATTGGTCATTCAGAAATAAATAGTCATTGGACTCGAGCGATCAAAGTTATATCACACGGTCGATTTATTGATGATTTCTCATTCGGGTTTGAACTGACCTGTGTATTGCATTTTGTATTTTATAAAAATATTTAAATATTGCAGCTGTGAGTTATATTTTGAGTTCGGTGCCGTATAATAAAATTATACAGCACCGGAGTCAAAATATATGTTTGGTCTAGAAAACGAGCTAAATTATTAATTGCCATTAAAATTATAGAGCTATCAAATTTATTCTGCCTGGTAAGAAGGTGATCTCAGTTAGTCTGCCCTCGGTTTAATCAACTCTTTAAAAGGTTGCTCCATTTAAAGCAACAGTAATTTTAAATGAATTAATTTTCCGCACCTCGAAACAATATTTCACTGTCTTTTAGGCTCGTTCAACCGCCGTTTGTTATCCCCTTTACAATTTACTTACTTGTAATAAACTCAATTTACACTAAAATGAGTTTGCCCGGACTAGAATTGTCATCCAAATAAGGTCTCCGGTTTTTAATTAATGTTGACAAAGCTAAACGTTTGTTGGGTTCTACCCATCGTTAAAGATTTTTAGACAAAATCAAAGACTGAAAAACGATGCCTTGAAACAAGCAAATTTATTCTAATGTTTTTAATTAATTTGTTAATTTAAAAACCACACGACAAAATGTTGTAAAACGCAGCTGAATCAAGATCACCCAGACTCTAATCTTAAAATGAAGGTTTCATTTTTCAGCAATCTGTATTCACCAACGCAGGCAGTTGACTACCTTGAAGTCACTATTATTTGAAAAGTTTTTAACTCAAAGACTTGCCAACAGGCATTTTCCAATGTTCAAAGCTTCAAAATCATGCACCCAAAGTTGCAGCTTAAATGAGACTCACAAGCTTAATACGTAAGTAGATAGTTTAAAAGTTGAAAATATGCTAAAGTAACCTCAAAGTTAAGACCAGGCGTGTATACGTATGTAATTAAAATAAAGTTAGCTGGAAAGCTCGTAAATATTCGTTAATTCCTTGATAGTTAACACGAAAATTATATAGGCTAACATCACGAAAGAGGTAGTAAAACCAAAAATTGAAACGCAGCCCAAGCAAGGAGAGTATTTAATTTATACTTGAGTATTTTATTTGACAAAGCACTGTTCCTAACCAGAAGGAACTGGCGCACTGAGGAAATATTGTTCTATAATATACAGTTTAGTAACAGTAAACAGAGTACAGAAGACAAACTAGTCAATCCTTCTCCACATCACCCACCAGACAATACACTTTGTAACAATCTCAGAGCTGAGAAAGAAAATTTCGGGAATTCAACTTCAAATGAAAACCACATCAACATTGCAATTTCATTATTGAACAATGCCGCAGTTAAAAGCCATGATATCAATGAAATTAAATGAATACTTATCAGAGTACTAATATAGATTCTGTTGAAATTGTATTAATTGACTTGACGAGTAACAAATTGCCACCAGCGTCCAATTTTCAGTCAACCTTGTTAGACAACCGATAAAACCTCCTGAAAAACAATCCTTCTATTACAATAAAAGTTAATAGCGATGTCGAATTGGGTAAAAAAGCAATAATATTAGTATTAGCACAAACAACTCCCTAACCCTAGCGGCAAAGGTGGCAATACTGTGCTACTTAGCCTCTGTCATCTCAAAACTTAGGAGACTGAATAGATTCCTGCTCGTTAAATTTGAGTAGACTGCTTAGTTGACCCTTTAAGCTTCGAACTTCCATTGGCTACAGGAAGCTATTTGAAAATTACGCTCTTGCATGTTTCAATGCTACACATTTTGCTACTTTGCCTTTGAACGAAATTTGATGTACTTTTTGTTCGATATCTTAGCTGAGATCAATCTAACCTTTAAACGTGGTTGTGATAAATACAAGAAGTTAAACTCACTTAGAATCAACGTAGATAATTAATTAATCAATTAAATAAAATTAGCGCAAAATTAAGTAAAAAAACCAACAACCGGGCAACTTGAATTTTGATGACGAGTATAACAATCCCAAAGCAGAACATCAATTCCTATTTGGCGTGTGGAAACAAGTGGAAAACTAAGGCTCTTAAGACGTTTCAGTTTCTTTCAACCCTTAACCCCATTTTCCATTCCATTAGGTTTGTAATAAAACCCCATCACAACTGGGTCACGGTAATAATGATGTCAATCTTGGAACATATTGAAGCTATAATTTGTGCCTCTAGGGACCATATGTGAAGAAGTCCAGATATTTAGGAACAGCAGATAGATCTAGTTTTATTGGCACTCTATGCTATTTTATTAAAATAAGGAATAAACAATTGAAAATTAATGCTCTGAGATAATCGCCTGATTAAGAATTATATTACAATTTCATGTTAACGTTTCATATTTCAACTTAACGGACCATACCGTATCACACATATTATAAAATGCAGATAGTATCGACATCGACAAAGCTAGGGAAATGGGCATCATTCCAAATCATAAAAAAGAGACATATAAAACTACGGAAACAATTGATCGAAACTGGACAACACGAATTGAGAGGGTCTCCCTCAACAGAAGTTGGCCAAAACAACCGATCAATCAACTATTATAATACAGAACTAAACATTAAAAACATATAAAACAAACCTACGTCAATATTAACGGGCTATCGAATCATAAAACGTAGTTTGATTTTGTATGTGTTGTGTGTGCTCTAAATTGAGCACACAGCATTGAACCGAGAGCGGTAAAATTCACCCAAAATGTGTCGCCTCAAAAATAAACTTTGCGTGTCCGAGGGTTTTTCATCAATTCCTTTCGGTGCTCAAACTGGACCTCTTTCGTATCCAAACGACGACCCTATATATCCTTCATATTCATTTTCTATATTAAACTATTAAAACAGTTTTCTGGTAGTATTTTCCGGGAAAGTATGAAACAAATTCGCAACATGTTTGACGAACTAGCATGACATGATTGATATGGGGAAATGTGTCAGAAAATAAATAAATCAAAAACTCACCTATAATAGTCAGATTGACATGAGTTATCTTTGTCGGTGACCTCTCGAAGTCCACTTTACAATGAAATACGCTCTCATCTGAACTTTTCGTTGGAGATATCATCAGTAGAGCTTGCTGTTCATTCACGCGCAAAAAATATCGGTTTTGTAAGTCGGGATCAGCCGTATGCTGAGGATGTGATCCTCGAGCCTCATATTTGTAGATCGGAGACTCTTCCGCGCCACGATACCACAAAATGTTCGTTATTTTATCGGAAATGTCGCCAGTAGACAGACGACATGGAAGTGTAGCTGTACTTCCATCACTCGCTTCGGCAAATTCGGTAGCTAGTTCAGCAACGGAACACGTTACGAGTAACACCAGAACGACAACCAGAAACCCGGCACTGGACATCTTCATACTACATGACCGCTTCCTTCGAATTCCCAATTGTGGTTATTTGATGGGTGAAGAAACAGTTGAGCCACAGATCTTAACAGTTCGTTGCGGTAAACCACCAATTCTGGAACCAAATGAAAAAGTGATTTAGATTCCTGCATAATACTACTAACGCAAAAGGTGTTAAATTGTAAGTCGGTATGGAACACACATAGCAATTTATTTACAAACATCGTACCCGAGATTTTTTTACTTGATCAGTTATACCAATAAGTGGTGAACCAATAACTGTTCGATGTCTTAAGAACCCAAACTAATCAGATGCACTTGTACACAGACCTAGCAAAAATTGACAACATGAACAAAGTGCAATTGAGTTTGAATTATGGTAGGACAAGAAGCAGGAAGTTGGCCTCCTGCCCTGCTCCTGATGTTGCTATGAATAAAGACCATATTTAGCAATTGTTTAACAAAAATTTGCCGAAAAAGTGGAAAAAAATTGGATTCTTGGACAGAAGTCATAAAGAAGACTTAAATTAACTGAATTGTTCTTTCTGTGATGTTTCCCATATTGGTAACACAACTGGGGAAATTAGGAGCACTTAAGGTATACTGATAAGTAAAATTTCGGTCATAACGTTTCAAGACCTGATCTTGGGCTTTCACGTGCCGAATATGGAAAAATGTTGAACAGCGTTTCTGTTTCCTCTGGAAGATCTGAAGATTCACATTGAGGCTGCAATCCTGGATTCAAAGTGCGCCGATCCACAAGTTAACTTAAACCGCGATTTATTCCTTATTTTTAGAAGCATTTATTTAGTGCGTAGGGAAACTCAACCTTCCCCAAGCAATTTTTTCATGCACTCTGTTCTGTTCAATAATTTGCACATTTGACACATATAGCTTAACGCTTTTTCAAACAGAACAATCCCTAATATCATCCGCAGCATAAAAATACATTTGTGGTTGCTCAAAAAAAAAACGTTAGATAAATGTCTTCGATACAAATTGGTTTTGCAGAATTAGCAGCCGCAAGGGTCGTAACCGCGTTTCATTTTTATTCTTATTTATTTCGGCCATAGCATGAATTTATTATTTGAAGGGTTTCGCAGCAGGTAATCATTCCGGTAACGTTCCCATAGGCTGTATTTTATTGTTCGTTAGGGTTAAAGAAATATTTATAAGGCCCCCATATTGCCGACCCTTAAATTTAATA